TATTGAGTGTGTCTTGCTAGGATAGTTTGATTTTATGGAAGTTTGATTTAAGGTATTTTGTGTTCTGTACGTTTTCCCTTTATTTTGTTGAGCAGTGTGTATATATGCACACTGCTGTGTATATATATGTATATATATATATATATATATATATATATATATATATATATATATATATATAAAGATGTGTGTCTGTGTGTGTGAATGTGGCCCCTTGCAGAGACTCCATTTGCAACTATAGGACCTCTGGTTTAAGCACCACCCATGACTGTCTCAGATCCCCCCACATTGCCTTCTAAAGGCACAGTGGAACCTGGTGACTGGCAATCTCACTTTTATCAGTGTGTTCCAGGGGAGCTTTGGCTACAGCGTAGCTTGCCACCATCTGTGTGTAAATGTCTGCATGAATGGATAAATGACTAAATGCAGTGTAAAGACCTTTGGAGTCCCCTGACTTGAAAAGGTGCTATATAATACAGGCTATTAGGGGGAGTTGCGGCCTAGTGGTTAGGGCATTGTGCTTGGAATCCTGAGGTTCTGAATTCTTCCACTGACTGCCACTCTGGGTCTCTGAGCAAAGACCTTTAACTCCACACTGCTCCCCGGGCGCCGCACAATGGCAGCCCACTGCCTCCCCAAGGGGATGGGTAAAATGTAGAGAGTTCATTGCGTTGCTCTGTACCTGTGACAGTGTAATGACAATAAAAGCTGGAGAAAAGAAAAAAATAACCAGGGAATTAAAGTCAAGAAAACTTGACTACTGTTTTTATATCTCAATGACAATATTCCTCCATATTTTCTTAAATTTGTGTTAGCCACACCCAGAAATAACTGATTACATCATAATAAACTTTTATGCAAGGAGTATCAAAAATTTTGACTCAGGTAGAAGGTAGTCTATATTTTACAAGAAATTACTCCAGTTAAAGTAAAATTTCAATTAGCGAGAATGCTACTGAAGAACTGTGTACCTAATCATAGCATTAGCTTTTTCTATTAAATGATGTAATCAGACAGACCAAAATGTGTCAGACATTTTTTCTTTACCTCCTCTGGTGTTTTAAAGGTGGCTTTAAATATGGCTTTTCCAAAATAAAAATACAGTGTATAATTTACTGTATGTTCCAGTCTGTTCTTCTGCTTGGTTTGGATGTGTGTCAAAGCTGAAGGGGAACTCAAACATATAAGAAAAAACATACTTTTTGGTTGATAAAAGCTTGTTTAATTTTTTTAGCTGGGTCATCACAAAGCAAAATAGATCCCAGCCCAATTTTATTTTATTACCGAAGAAATAAAATGCTTTAATACAACCCTTGCAATGCAGCCCCAGACAACTAAAAATGAAATTTATAAATATTTTTAAACAGAGGTATGCATGCAAGTTCCATAGCTATATATGCATGCTTGCTAATATTTAAGTAAATGAAGCGATTCAACAACCTGTTTGTGGAAAATATTCCAAGCTATGCTTGAAGTCCTTGTTTTTAAAATCCCTAAAGATGAGGATGAGTCTAACAGATGCTAGATAACCAAAAAGTCTAGATAACTAAGCCTAAAAAGCCATAATCTGTCATTAATGAGGCTGCAGTAAACATTGTCAAACTTGTTTGCCTACCTTACTGATTTTCTGTTAGAAGGGATTTTTACAACAAGAAATTATAAGAAAACTATCAGAACTTACATCAGATTCTTTTATCTACTTTTTAAAACCTACTCTAGCTGTGAGAACCTCAATCTGCTTTTGCTTGCCTTTTTTTTTAGATTCATTTGCATAATTAATACATGCTATCGTGGCTCTCCACTTAACCATATATGTCACCCAGCAGCTCTGCTCAGCTCTGTTAGGGCTATAAAAGCTGTTAAAAGGATGCAGAGAACTTTATTTGTCCTCAAAATGATCTACTTCAGCCCCTTTCACAACTTCTAGAATCCTTCTGGAAGTTAAGGAAGGTCATTCACCCACTTCATTCATAGTGGCTGCTTTTCAAAGAGGTGAGACATAGGTCAGCTGTTGCTGCTCACAGAATGTGTTTACAGTCACGCCGGAGAGCAGTGAATCACAGCCTTCGGCTTGCGTTGCATTTATGTGTTAAAGTGCTCGGTTTGAGCCGTCCTTCCCTGTGTTTAGAGTCTGTGGGGGCCTCACCGTGGAAGCTTTTATCACTCATCGTGAATCTGATGGCAAAAACTAAAACTGTAGGTGGATGTTTTTTCTTAATAAGTTCCACTTTAAATAAAACATAAAATCTGATTACAAAATATCACATTTCACATTAAAGCAGTGACTGATCGGGTCTCAAACTGTCAGTTTTTTGTAGAGCACTCCCAACTTAAACAAGTTGGAGCAGAAGTAGCTGTGCCATCAACATCCTGAAAACAGATTGCACAAGATAACAGAAAGACACAAAAGCATCAAAGTAAAGTGAAGGATATTAGTTTAAGCCAAGAGCATTAAAAAAGGCAAACATGAAGAAGTTAACCTTAACAGATCTGAAATAGGATCAAACAAACCTGACTCAAGAAGAATGAGCTCAAAATATGTTCTCGTTTAAGCCTTTTAGAAAAATACACATTTTTTTTACACTGCTTTACTTCAAGGCAAGTTCAAGCTACTTCAAGTTCAAGGCACGGAGGAAAAACAAGAAAGCATAGCTCTCTTTTCTGTGACATTACAACCACAATTGGTGAATGTTATTCCGATTTTATGAGACAACGAAATCAGACTGCAAATGGGACTTCTTGTAATTTAATAGTCCTCTTTTTGCCTCTATTTGATTTAAACCAGATCAGTAGTCTTCTCTACTCTTATTCTTCCACATGAACTTTGGATATATTCTACATTTGCTCCATGGGCCTCTGAATCGCTTCTCTACCTGTGACTTATCTTATAACCTGTCAGGAAAGTCAGCAGCCATGTCTTGACATCTTTGCAGTTGTGCCATATTCCAACAATATATGTAGTTTATAGCCTAACTCTGCATTAATCTGCTTCACTACTTTCTTACTGACTTGTCTGCTGTGTTCCTTAGTAATCCATGAAGCTGTGTGTTGACTGATGATGGTGAAAATCTGGCGTATCTGCTTACCCTGTGTTTATTTTATTTTATTTACGCTCCTGAAATTAGATTGTCGGGTTAGGGAGTTGTATTGTTTCCAGCTTGACTCTTAAGCTCTGAGTCTGAAAACCATTTGAATTCCTAAATTGGTCAGTCGTTTTCACTTGCCAGGTTTGTGCAAACACACAAGGAATTCAACTTTGGCTCAACTTTGCTTTCAGTGAAGATATTTTAGATCTAAATCCATAAAAAGGGAAAACAACAAATGTTGTATTTGTAAATTATGTTTTTACATCCTTTTTACAAAAAAGGGATGCAAGGTTGAGTATGTGTAAATAAGCATGATAGGGAAAAAAACTTGGGTAAAGAAACTGTCTCGATGGTTCCTGCTTTTTGTTAACCTCCAAGGTAAAAGTCTAACTCACTGCGGATCCAGACATTTGAATTGAGAAAGCTTCCTGGAGAGGTGGCGAAACATCTTCAAATCTTGGAAACCAAGTCCAGTTGGATTTTTTTAAAACTTTAATAGAATATTTATTTAATGTTTCTTTTAGACGTTGTCATTTTCAAATCTCTATATATATCTAAGTTCATTTCAATTCAATTCAGTTTATTTATATAGTACCATTTCACAACACATAGAATAAAAAAAAAAATCCTTTTTTTTATCTTACAATGGGGAAATTCTGGTGTTTACAGAAGCAAAAAGATTAAAGATGATATCTCAAGTCACTTTACAGAGACAATTCAACCAGATCCTACAGTCAAATTCATTCAAAGTTTTCTATCTAAGGAAAACCAGTTGATTGGATCGCCAAAGCATGCTTGTAGCAACAGTGGAGAGGAAAACTCAATTTTTACAGGGAGAAACCTTGAGCAGAACCAGGCTGAGTGTGAGCGACCATCTGCTGGGGCCAATTTGGGTTCAAGGAGACAGAAGCAGACATACAGAAAGAAGCAGAGATACAAAAGACAACTGTCAACCAGCTCCACAGGCTGCACCGTCCGGCTCCAACATCTGTAAACAAAGGTGTTGATTGCAGCAGCACAGCTGATATTTCTCTCCAAGATGGTGTCCATGCCAAACTGGAACAGACCAGATAAAATATTGCAGAATGGGAGAATAGAAATAGAATGAAGCAGAATGATGAAAAGTATTCCCTATGTTCTCCAGCAGTCTAAGCCTATAGCAGCATAACTATGAAGATACCTCAGGATAACTTCAGCCACTCTAATTATAAGCTTTAAGAAAAAGGAAAGTTTTAAGCCTACCCATAAATTTGTTATTAAAATAGTAGAGCAGCAGCATAAAATGCACATTTTTAGATGCAGCCCACTAATGTGTTGTGTTTTTTCATGAAGTCGTTCAGCATGCATTATTGCCCGTACAGTAGGCCCAGCAGTGTTGACCCCTTGTGTATAATAATATGAGTTCAACATTAGCAGATGTGTAGCTATCACGAACGGGAATTGCAATGCAGCCATATTGGATTTGAGATCATTGTTGGCCAAAAACTTTTACTTATATACTTTCTACAATTATGCCATCTTTTTATGAATTTCTTATCCTGAATTGTGGAAATTTCAACTTTTGATTGAGAAAGAAAATCAAAAGTAAAACCAAACTTTGTGCATCAAACATGCAGTTACTTTGAACTTTTGTTTTGTTCCTGTTTTATATAACACACCTCAACAAGCTATTTGAAAGTGTTCACTCTTATGGGCAAAACTTTGAAAAGCCTAAGCTAGTATCTATTCTACGAGGAATCAATGTTTTAGACTAGCACCCTTATAATATTTGGCTCTAGGTAATGTTTAAATACATAATCATTACAGAATCTCTGCAAGTTGTTTTTCCCTCTTGTGATCCTCAAAGACTTTGATGTTTTGCCCTTTCATAAAGCATCGACTCATCCTCATGATACCTTTTTCTTCTGTGCACAGGGCGAATCATAGAAACAACCCACAGCACCAAATCACCTGCTGACAGAGCAGATGCTGCACTAACACTCCAGGAGGTGATGGATGTGGAGGGGGTCCACCTAGAAGAAGCACGGCTCGAAACGTCCCAGGGAGAGGACTCGGAGCTCAGCTTGAGTTTTCAGGGCTACGTCGCCGAGCTCCGGCAGTGCCAGAGCAAAATGAGGAACGCCCAGATACCGCAGAACGGCCGTAGCCCGTCAGAAGGACAGGACTGCCAGTCGGACATGTACAAGGCCACGATCGTCTGAAGGGGACAACCTCACCCTCACACACACTACTGCACTTTTTCAGCCTGAGGCACTAATGTCTGGAGGGGGATATGTTAAACAATGGCCTGCATTTAGAGATGTCATTTTCTCTCTCTTTGAAACAAAAGCAATGGCAATAGATGTATTTACAATAATTCATTGGTGGATTGTAATCATTTATTTGAATGATTATTCAGTTTCATTAATATTTCAAACAATGTAGCCCCAGTTCAAACGTACAATACCAGAATTATACATGCAGGCTCAATCTTCACAAGATGCTCCTCAAACCATATTCATTTTATAGCCATCAACAAGCATTTAATATGATTCAGTTTGTAAATTTGACCTCTCTACTTGGCGGAATTTGTATAGTTCATCTAAAGTTGTTGATTTTCCGCCACACACCTGGTTTGTTTTCCAGAAATCTGTAGATTGGACCAATGTTAGCCTGGTTTATTCATTCCAAAGCCACTTTATGTGTGTTTTGGATTCCCAACCGGCTGGAATGTCTGCTTGTGTCCCAGTTTCAACTATCTAGTTGTTGAGGTGAGGTTTGGTTGAACAGCTCTATCATTTCATGTATTGTGTGTGAAGCAACAGTAGCACTGGTTGCCAAGCTGATGCTCAGCATGATGCTACTCTCACCATGTTTACTTTGTTTTGAAATTCTCTCCATGGGACTCAAACAACTCATGTTTTTAGTTAAATAAAAAAAACAACAACAAAAAAATCCTCCTTTTTCATGGTTTTATTAAAGAAAGAAAACCAAACTTTGTTCAGACAAGTTTTTATTTCCAGGCTCTTTCAAAAAATCTGTTGGTACTGATTTCTAGATTGTCATAAGGTTCCACCTCTTATATCGGCAGAACCACCCTCATCGGTTTGTGTCAGTAACATTTCCAAAGGTTTCCTCCTTCACCTTAAATCGTCCAAACATGCTTGACCCGAATAGTTCAACAGTTGTTTTCTTTAAGCAATTACAGTTTTTTAATGCCATCAAGCTGTCCAGGCGAGAAGTTGCAATGGTTCTGTATTATAATATAAGTGGGCTCATGTAGAAAGTTGCGCATTCACAGATTTTTGGTTTGAGCCTCAGTGGTTTTTGGTTATTCTAACCAGTTTCCTTCTATTTGAAAGGGGAACATTTGGGTCTGATAGCTGAAACTTGGACCCAGCCAGGTCTTCTTGCAAAACAGATTTAAAACATACATAAATGCTTGTTTCGAACCATCCATCATCTGACACACTTGTCCTGAGTGGGGTCGCGAGGGGTGGTGGTGCCTATCTCCAGCTGTCTACGGGCGAGAGGCAGGGTACACCCTGGACAGGTCACCAGTCCATCGCAGGGCAACACAGAGACAAACAGGACAAACAACCATTCACACACACACACACACACACACACCTAAGGAGAATTTAGAGAAGCCTATTAACCTAACAGTCATGTTTTTGGACTGTGGGAGAAAGCTGGAGTACCCGGAGAGAACCCACACATGCTCAGGGAGAACATGCAAACAAAATGTGTGGCAAGTTTTTTAAGTAGTATCCAGAAATCTTCAAATTTAAATGAACTCTACATTTTGTTACAACAAGAGGTGAAATATTGAGTCAGAATTACCTGAATCCTGTGGATGGCTTCAAAAAGCATGTGGTGAAGGTGTACCCTTATTAGTGACATTTATTCAAATATTGAAGGAGTATATGTAAATATAGAACCTGTGTGGATTCCAGAAAAATCAAATCCTATTAAAGTTATAGTTGTGCTATTATTGTACCATGAAAAACAGAACAGTTCAAATTCATCCCTAAAAGCAGCAAAAACATTTTAACATCCATGAGCCTTATGGGTGTAAGCTTCTCACTAGAACTTTGTATCTGTTGAACATGACAGACTATTGTTGTTGAATTGTATTGTAATTTTATGGGAGTGTATTTTTTGGTATGGATGAATAATTAGGTGAAATGTAACTATATTTTTAGCCATGCTAGACTGAAAAAAACACCACAAGGCTTCTGTTAGGGTACAAATGTTGAGTCTCTACTGCTAACCTTTACTGTGGCAAGACTGTTGAATGGAAACTAAACTTTCAGTTTGACTTTAAAAAAAAGTATCTGTTAGAAAAGAAAACGACGACATAGGCAGGACTGTTTTCATGGTCAAACAGATGGCGAGGAATTTCTTTTTTGATCTTAGTCTTCCTCCGTTACAGTAACACCTTGAACTGTACCTCTATTGTCTGTATTTTCTGCTTCTGTGGTTTTTTGACATTGTCCAGATTTTTGAACGATTAAAAAGCCTTCATGGTGACACCTTAAGCAAAGTGTTATTCATGTCTTCTCTGTTCAGCTAGGACCCAAAGTGTTAACCTTCACATATTCAGAGCCTCATATTTGACATTTTCACCACGGTTAATGTCTTTGCTGGATCAGTCAGCTCTGTAAATGATTAATCTTCAGGTATTCTAGCTGTTTATTTAGCCAAGGCAGCATTCTAATGCAGAGGGATCTAGGGATAAACTTCCCAGCCTCCTCTTTGTATTTCCAGCCCAGCATCTGGAGAGGCATTTTTACAGCTGGTGGAAATTGCAGGTTAGATTGCAGGACTGGGCACTTTGTCTTGATGCAACATGTCAGAGTTGGAATGCTGACAGCAAATGAACCTTAAAAGATCAGAGTGGCTTTTTACATTCATACCATCCACATCTCGAAAGTTTAGTTATTAACCCTTTATAGGGAGACTCAGTGAAATCAAAATTTCAAGCCATTAGTGACATTACACTGCAAAAATTATCTAGAAGTAAATAAAAATGTCCTAAATTAATTGTATTCATCCTTAATTTGGGAAGTTTTACAAGATGATTTGCCAAATCAATGAGATTTTTACTCTTAAAATAAGATAATTACTTAAAATAAGACAAAGCGATTGTTTTTATTATTATTTTAAATGTAAATTATCTTGTTCCATTGCCAAAGTGTCTCACTTTCCTCTTCAATTCAAGAGAAAAAATAACTTATTCATTAAATTATATATTTTTTGCAGTAACATTAAAAAACTATGAATATTTTATTGGAAAAAAATGTAATAACAAGAAACACCAACTTGACCGAATATATAAAGAAAAATAACAAAAGCATTTCTATAAGAAATTCACGAAAAACACTCCAAGAGTGAAAGAAACACATTTTATTTGGTGCAACATAACCTTAGAGGCATTAATGCTGATACTGGCACTTACATTTTTTAGTTTACACATCTATATATAATTGTGAACTAGGATTATGTACTTTTTAACTTTACTGTTTAACTTTTCAATTAGCTTTTCACCTTTTTTCTTGGCTTAACTTTTTTTCAACTTAATTTCAGGTAGGTAATATATCATTCAAAGGCTCATCCAATTGGTCAAATGCCAAAATAGGATGAACAACCATGTAGCAGCATCGTTGCTTAATGGCTGGGTATAGATCTTGTGCTTCTAGACCTCACTGAGGGACAGGGGGAGTCCATTTGTAAGGTGATCAAAAACAGTAACTTGCCCTATAAAGGGTTAATGAGGTCTTGATTAGATTTGTTACTCCTTACTTCTAAATATGACTTTCTCTTCTCTGTTTAAACATGACAGAACATATTGACCCAGCTGAGGAGGTTTAGCTGCAAACACTCCTTTCGCTGTCATGGCATGATCTTTGTTTGATGTTTTCATTTTACAACTAGACCCACCTATCTATTATAATTAGCTGCCAATCTGTGCTTACCCTGATTTAGCAAATGTCTTTTGTGAATCCTGCATAGTGTACCCATGGATAACATGGAATCCTTCTAGAGGAAATTACTCACTTATGGGAGTAAAGATAACCCTCAGTATTATTACAGCAGAGTTATTTGCAGATGTGTCCCTTGGATGGATTCACATTAGACACACTAGTTGATTTATGAAAGGAAGAGATCAAGATAAAAAGCCCCTCGGTCTGACAGAAAGAGCATTCTTCACCGATTCCTCTAAGATGACCCCAGAGTGAATCACCCCTAAAAATAGCCAAGAGTCGCCCCCTCCATTCAGTGTGAATGCTAACGTATTTTCAAAAATGACGTAGACAAACAGAAAACTTTGTGTTTTAAAAACACACAGTTGGCATGGCAACAATGCCAGGGTGTGATCACATGCAGAAATATTCAGGTGTCTTCAGTCGGCTCCTTTCAACATATTGCAACAGCTTTCAGATGTCAGCAATGGAATATTTCTCAATGCAAAGACTTCACCTACATAATACTCTTTCCATTTACTCACGCATGTTTATTTAACACAGCTGAATAGTTTTTCTGCATCATCACTTCACAGGTTTGTTTGACGGCTCTGTTCTTTGATATTTTCAAATCAAATTAATCTTGGATATTTGATATTACTTCATTAATAAACTTTTTTTTTTATTATTATACTGCCTCACGTTGTAATAATAAATAATTAAAGAAAAGGCTGTTACTAGATTAGATATTTGTTGCACTTGTTGCAGTAATAGTTCCAACCCTTTGCTGCCTTTGTGATGGTACAATAAACCCAGAAACAGCTTTCTGCTTCATTGATCGCACTTAAAAGAACTGTGATGATTGCGTGTTGCTGGATTCATCTGTTTAAATAAAAATGTGACAAAACAGTAAAGAAAAGCTTTCACCTCATTCTGAAAATTAGAAGAAATTAATGTGCCTGCAAACTTTGCTTACTCGGTTGGATGATATTAAAAAATAAAAAATAAAATTTTTTTTTTTAAGTTAAGCAGCAAAAATCTAATCTAAAAATCTAATCTCACTGAGATTAAAATTCCCTTACAAGAGCATCCTTGCCAAGAAAGGCAGCAGTTCAGTTACATGTCACCTTCTTTCAGCCATCAATCCACACAAATATTTACGATTCAAAAGAAGAATGTACAGTACAAAAACACAATATCTAAAAACCACTATGACGATTTTTTTTTACAGTATTATCAAAGCCATCTAATACGACGCATATTTCCGCTGATCACTGTCTTGGTTATGATGTAAAAGTAAAAGTGAATGTAACTTTGGAAGTTAAAAAAAAATCCATAGAAACAGTGGAGATCAGAGCAAAAATGATTACATCTAGATGCACATAAACAGGGGTGGAGCTAGATGGGGGGCCAGGGGGGCCCATGGCCACCCTTAGCCAATCATTGGCCACCCCTAACATTTATTTCCCTCCAATACAGATGGTGGCAACAGTAATAATCTCAAGTGGAATATTGAAAACATTTGAATTTTTCATATACTAACAATTAGTTGACAACAAAAACCCTGTGGTTAATTATGCACATCAATATACTAACATTAAAGATGATAAGTACAGAATTCAAGCAGAAATAGATTTTGTGTTATATGAGGTAAAGCGAAAATGATGTTTCTCTGCAAGTTTAAAGTAAAAGTAAATCCACCTGAATATAAGCCATCCGGATTGTACATATTTTTATTTCTTATTTTATTTTGTTTTTCATTGTGTGTGATACATGTACACTTGCAACTTAATCCTTATTTATCTTAATATAGTGTATATACCTGGATATACTGTATATATATTTTTTATTCTTAATGCACCTTTTTCCTCCTTGTTTGCACCTTCTTTAA